AATCTATTAGCTGCCGGACCAAAAGACATTTCTTGGAAACAAAGATATTACAGTAATAAGATACAAATATGGTTCTGGTCCAGGATTAGTCCACCCTGTTTGAACCTACCCTGGGATTAAATCATGTTGAACAAACTCAGGTTCATTGTAAGCCTGCTGCACTCGCTACTTTCAGGTGTTTAGGAAGATACCATGTAGCAGTTGCTAGTATTTGTGGTTTCTGTGTATGGTAGGGACAGCTGGAAAGTGAAGAAAATGGACAGGAAGAAAGTAAACTCATGTGATGCTAGAAAAGATCTTTATGGTTGCCATGGTGTGCTAAAAAGATAAATGAATGGGTCTTCGAGCAACTTAGGCCTCGAAGGCAAAACTACTAAACCATGGCTATTATTGTGCTTTGGACATATCATAAGAAAACATGGCTCATTAGTTTAAAACATGTATGCTTGGCCAAGTAGGATCCAGTACCAAAAGATGAGGATCACATTAAGATAAATAGATTCAACCAAGGAAGCCATTGCCCTCTGTTTGCAAGATCTTAACAGGGCTCTTAATAACAGTGTGTCTTGCTGGTGTCTTATTCCGAAAATAACACGTAGAAGGAGCTTTGAGAGAAGCCCGTGGAAAGGGAAGTTTGGGTGGGGTCCTTCTTGAATCATATCCCTGATCTCTCCTCAGAGATGATGAGCCAGTGTTTGCATGAAAATCATGTGGCTGCAGCTGGACTTTGAAAAATAAGGCTATAACTCAGGGGTCGACAAAAGGCAGCTTTCCAGTTATTGTTGGACTGTAATTCCCACAGCCAACACAGCCAGTGATGAGGAATCGTGGGAGTTGTAGTTCAATGATATCTGCATGACTGCAGTTCACCAACTGCTGTTTGACTGATAGGACATCAAGAGTTTTTAAAGAGTTTCTATAAAAGAGAGCAATTTTAAAGAAAGCAAGACTCAAGACTTTATTCGAAATATTTGGTTAATAATGTAGGGATGTTCTCTTTTCAAATGTAAGGTGGAATTGACTAAAAGGTATGATGTTTCAGACAGAAGTCCACAGTTTTTTGTAGCACTACGGAAAACTTCAGTGAAGAATCCAATGAATGCAGCTGATAGAAAACTCTCTGTGTTCTCCTCCACCCTGCAGACAGTTGTTCCTTTCTTTGCCCATATGAGATGTGCCCACAGTGGTGAATCTCTCTTTCCACATCAGCAACCTGGCATTTGACTCCATGATGAGAATACCAGGCACTAGTGGGAGGTTAGAAAACCATGTGGATGAGAGCATGCAAATACTGGAGGCAAATGTTTCTCCAAAATGTTAGAATAGGCTGCAGAGGAAATGCTGGCATTGGGCTGATGACTAAAAATTCAAGCTGGAAGATTTGTAATGCTGACTCAGAAACTCTCAGTGTAATGACCAGCTTTTTAAAAAATTAGAATTCTGGGAATTGCTTCATCGTAAACAGGTTATTTTTGCACATTTCTAATTTGTAATATATGACTAAGATTTATTTGGGAAACAAAGAATACACAGCAGGAAAGGGGTTAACATTGAGAGATTGAGTGCAGCAGAACTAACCCTGTCCAGTTCCCTGCATAAATCATTCATAGCCAGGTCTGAAACCAGGTTGAAATTAATCTAGAAACATCCTCTATGGCCCCTTCCACACAGCTGTATAAAATCCACATTGAACTGGGTTATATGGCGCGTGGGGACAAGAGACAGAGCCTTCTCAGTGGTGGCTCCTCGGCTCTGGAACTCCCTCCTCAGGAATATTAGATCGGCCCCTCCCTCCTGACATTCCAAAAAAAAGTAAAAACCTAGCTCTTCAAACAAGCTTTTGAAAATACAGCATAATAGATAAATGTGGAACTATGGAAGAGTGAACATGAAACGGCTTAGACTATGCTTCTGGAAAATAAGTTTACAGGAAGTCACTGGTGATTATATGTTTTTAATGATTTTTATATAGTTTTTATAATGTGTGCTAAATGTTTTTAATTGTATTTTATGACTGTTGTGGCATCGAATTGCTCCCAATTGTAAGTCGCCTTCGGGCTGAGAAAGGCGACATAGAAATACCATAAATAAATAAATAAATAAATAAATAAATAAATAAATAAATAAATGCCAGTTCAAGACTGGCAACAAAGATCCGCCTAGTCAAAGCCATGGTATTCCCTGTAGTAACCTACGGATGTGAGAGCTGGACCTTAGGGAAGGCTGAGCGAAGGAAGATCGATGCTTTTGAGCTGTGGTGTTGGAGGAAAGTGCTGAGAGTGCCTTGGACTGCGAGAAGATCCAACCAGTCCATCCTCCAGGAAATAAAGCCCGACTGCTCACTGGAAGGAAAGATACTAGAGACAAAGTTGAAGTACTTTGGCCACATCATGAGGAGACAGGAAAGCCTAGAGAAGACAATTATGCTGGGGAAAGTGGAAGGCAAAAGGAAGAGGGGCCGACCAAGGGCAAGATGGATGGATGGCATCCTTGAAGTGACTGGATTGACCTTGAAGGAGCTGGGGGTTGTGATGGCCTGACAGGGAGCTCTGGCGTGGCTGGTCCATGAGGTCACGAAGAGTCGGAGACGACTGAACGAATGAACAACAACAAGTTCAAAGCGGATATTATGGATTATCTTCCTTCATATTCTGGGTTATATGACTGTGTGGAAGGGCCCCATGTCTTGCATCTAAATGATATGTTGTTTTCACTTCCTTTCCAATTGATTTCCATAATTCAATTTAGTATTGATTGAACTAAAGAGAGCCAAACTAATGCTAAATCTCCATGGTACAATAAAGCAGAGAAATGTTCTTGTGTGATTGTGGATTTATGGTCCTGTGTGGGCTGGTATACATTAGTCAAGTGGTGGGAAGAGTGTAAGGGCCCTTCCACACAGCCATATAACCCAGAATATCAATGCAGAATAACCCACAATATCTGCTTTGAACAGGAATATCTAAGTCCACACTTCCATATATCCCCGTTCAAAGCAGATAATGAGGGATTTTATTCATCTGTGTGGAAAGGGTCTAAGAGTAGAAAAGAAGCTCTCTCTATGAAAAGTTGGTACTATATGGAGAAAGTCATCAGCAAGTTTGTACATGGCCTGTGATGATGATGATGTTGATGAAAAAGAAGAGATTATAACTAGTAAAAATGGAGTGTTGAATACTCAGATCAGACAGGCTTGCTCTGGTACTATACAGACTGTGACTCATTGACTGTGCATTTTGGCTCTTATCACTTGCCGGAAAGTCCACCTTATGGGATTTTCAGAAAAATAACTGTGTGATGTCAGTTGCCGTGAAGCAAAACAACACAGTCTTTAAGGTTTCATGGGATCATGAAACATTTTATTATGGCCTATGTTTGATGGGCCCTGGAGGGTATACATGAAAAACTGCCATAATAAAACATGTTCCCATTGAAAATACTGCAAGATTGTTTCTGAGCCGGCAACAAAAACAGGCAATTTATCCAGGTCTCTGGTATGCATTTAGCTTGGTGGACCTTACTACAATGCAGTCTGAGCCCTTCCACGTGCACAGTGGAGGACCTTCTTACAGTGACATCTGAGTCACTCAAAGTGGCCTGCTTCTGGTCAAAGAAAATTTAGTACAATGCTAAGTTCATGACTTGGAAAATGGTTTTTTATCCATTATAACTGTATTCTCAATTCGATTCTAACACGATAAATAAATAAGCTTGGTGAACCACATATCATATCAACTTGCCTTATCTTATAAACCTGGTGTATGGAGGAGGTTGGCAGTGGTTGAACATAGGTAAGGAAAGAAACCATTCAGCACATGGTCAATCCTAGAACTAACCTATTATGGCAGTGTTTCTCAACCTGGGGGTCGGGACCCCTGGAGGGGTAGTGAGGGGGTGTCAGAGGGGTCACCAAAGACCATAAGAAAACTCAGTATTTTTGCTGGTCATGGGGGTTCTGTGTGGGAAGTTTGGCCCAATTTTATCATTGGTGGCGTTCAGAATTCACTTTGATTGGAGGTGAACTATATATCCCAGGAATTGTCAAGTCTCTTTTCCCCAAACTCCACTAGTGTTCACATTATTGAGCATTCATGCCAGTTTTGATCCAGATCCATCATTGTTTGAGTCCACAGTGTTCTTTGGATGTAGGTGAACTACAACTCCAAAACTCAAGGTCAATGTCCACCAAACCCTTCCAGTATTTTGTCATGGGAGCTCTGTGTGCCAAGTTTGGTTCAACTCTATCGTTTGCGGAGTTCAGAACGTTCTTTGATTTTAGGTGAACTATAAATCCCAGCAACTACAACTCCAAACGACAAAATAACCCACCCACCCACCCACTCACCTATCGTCCCCCCACCCACCTGCCTATCCCCAATATTCAAATTTGGGCCTATCGGGTATTTGTGTCAAATTTGGTCCTGGGAATAAAAATACATTCTTCATATTGGATATTAACATTACGATTCATGACAGTAGCAAAATTACAGTTATGACGTAGCAACAAAAATATTTTTATGGTTGGGGGTCACCACAACATGAGGAACTGTATTAAGGGGTCATGGCATTAGGAAGGTTGAGAACCACTGTATTATGGGGTTTTCTTGGCAAGATAAGCCTTTGACTTCCTCTAAAGTTGACGCAGTGTGACTTGCCCATGGTCATCCAGTGGATTTTGGTTGCTGATTGGGAGATTTGAACCCTGGTCTCTAGAGTTATAGTCCAATGCTTAAACCACTACACCACAGAGTTATTTTTATATCTACTTGTTCATTTTTGTTTTTTTATGAACTGCTTGACTCCCATAGCGACATCTCTACTAAAGGCATGGAAGCCATTACTGCATCATACTCTGATCTTAGATGGGTCACAAGAAAAGCATGATTACCATACAAATATACAACATTTTAAAGTGGGTGCATGTTGATATTAAATGTGGCTGGAAAGGCTAAAGTGGTTAAGCACTATCACCTTAAACTGTTTTTTCATGTTTTTCTCAGGCAAATAAAATTGAAAAAGCCGTATCGGCTGCTCACACATTCCTGCAGAAGAATCCGAAGCATGAGATGACCCAAAAGTACCTGAATTATTACAAGACCATGGTGGATGTGGACGAGTACCTTATAGACTTGGAAGCACAACCCTATGAGGTGAATGGAGGGAGAGGTGTTTGAGATACTGGGGGGGAAAAGGAGCTGAACTTTAGTCCTTCAGACATTTTGGATTAGTGGTTCCTACAACCACTTACAATTGACTGGGATTCATAGAATCACAGAGTTGGAAGAGATCTCGTGGGCCATCCAGTCCAACCCCCTGCCAAGAAACAGGAAAACCGTATTCAAAGGACCCTCGACAGGTGGTCATCCAGCCTCTTCTTAAAAGCCTCTTTTAAGAATGTGGAGCCTCCACCACATTCCGGAGCAGAGAGTTCCACTGCTGAACAGCTCTCACGGTCAGATTTTTTTCCCTAATGTTCAAGTGGAATCTCCTTTCCTGTAGTTTGAAACCATTGCTCCGTGTCCTAGTCTCCAGGGCTGCAAAAAACAAGCTTTCTCCCTCCTCCCTATGACTTCCCCTCACATATTTATACATGGCCATCATGTCTCCTCTCAGCCTTCTGTTCTTCAGGCTAAACATGATCGGGTCTTTAAGCTGCTCCTCATAGTTTGTACTCCAGACCCTTGATCATTTTAGTCGCCCTCCTCTGGACTTATTCCAGCTTGTCAACATCTCCCTTCAATTGTGGGGCCTGGAAATGGACACAGTATTCCAAATGTGGTCTGACCAAGGTAGAATAGAGGGATAGCATGACTTCCCTGGACCTAGACACTATACTCCTATTTATGAAGGCCAAAATCCCATTGCCTTTTTTTGCCAATTGATGGGAGTTGTAGTCCAAAACATCTGTAGAGTATTCCATTGCAAGTCTTTGCTTGGAAGGTCTGGATGAAGAGAAAGTGTTAGCAGCAGGTGAATTAGGAAATGGGCAAGTTTGTTTTCTACTACTCTGTAGTCTAGGGGAGAAAACAGTAATTCAAATCACAGAGAAAAAGATTTCACCAAAACATTAAGAAAAACTCCCTGATGGTAAGAGCTGTCTTGGGGTGTGATGGTGCCTCCTTCTCTGGAGGTTTTTAAACAGAAGCTGGAAGACCATCTGTCAGGAGTGCTTTGATTTGTTTTCCTGATTTGTTTTGTTTTCCTGGTAGGGAGTTGAAATGGATGGCCTTTGCGGTCTCTTCCAACTCTACTATTCTATGGTCCGTGAATGGCTTCTTGCCTTTATTATACAGATTGAGTATCTTTTATGTGGAAATCCAAACTTCTCCAAAACTGTCTACGTAGGTGACTAAGATAGTAACATCTTTGCTTTCAAATGGTTTAATGTGCAGGAGGAGAAGCCATTTCAAAATAGTACTATTTATAACAAAACAGTCTCCTTAAAAACCTTCAGTTCTAAAAGCCTGTCAGAAAAGAAAGGCAAAATATTGGTGAGAGATGGACAGCAAAGAGGAGGTGCCAGAGCCTAGGAGTAGCCACTGAGAATGCCTCTGACAAGACCATACATTCTTACAAATTTTTCCATAGTATCTGATTGGCATTTAAGAAGACCGAGCTAGGCGGATAACTGGATTGCATCTAGCATGCCTGTTGTTGACTTTTCTTCAGCCTGACCTGGCATCTTTTCTCTGTGTCTTGGCAGACAGTTTTTGTCAGATCAGTGAAACTTTATAACAGTGGCGATTTCCGCAGCAGCATTGCCGACATGGAGCATGCACTCTCCGAATACTACAAGGCCTATGAGAATTGCCTGGCTGGCTGCGAAGGCAGCTACGAACTCCGTGAATTTAAGGACTTCTATCCAGCCATTGCAGGTAAGAGCAATGTGGGAGGCCAATGATACAACCATCACAACAAACTAAGGGAACTGAGGATAAATTGATCATTACAAAGTGGATGACAACACCTCCCAATTCAGTTTGGAACTTTTGTAAGTCAGGATGCAAATACTTCCAAATGTCAAATATGCAGCATGTGGCAAAATGTTTCCAAATTTAAAAAAATATTTTTATTAGAGAAAACAATGCAACTTTTACATAGTAAAGGTAAAGGTTTCCCCTTTACCTTTACTAGTCTGGTTATGTCGGACTCTGTGGGGTATTGCTCATTTCCATTTCTAAGCCCAAGAGCCGGCGTTGTCCGTAGACACCTCCTAGGCCATGTAGTTTGCATGACTGCATGGAGCACCCTTACTTTCTCGCAGAAGTGGTACCTATTGATCTACTCACATTTGCATGTTTTTGAACTGCTAGGTTGGCAGAAGCTGMGCCTAACAATGGGAGCTCACCTCACTCCCCGGATTGAAACCGCCAACCTTTCAGTCAGCAAGTTCAGCAGCTCGGCGGTTTAACCCGCTGCATCACCAGGGGCCCTCTTTAAATAGTGATTAAGATCCTCTGAGGAGGCCCTGCTCTCCATCCCACGATTGTCACAGGTCYATTGGTGGGGACAAGAGAGGGGCCTTCTCAGTGATTGCCCCCCAGCTATGGAACTCCCTTCCTGGTGAGATCAGATCAGCRCCCTTCCTCCTGTCCTTCAGAAGGATGGTAAAACCTTGGCCGTGGGACCAAGTTTTCGGGTCAGTGCAATAAAACATAGGAAACCTTACCAGGCCAATTAGATTAGATGCAGATGAACAAGATGTTTTTAAACAGTGTATTTTAATATTGAGATAAATGTTTTTAATATTTATATATGCATATAATGAATTCATGTCCTAGCATTGAATGTTTGCCGTTTGTATTTTGTGTTCCACCTTGAGTCTCCTTCAGGGTGAGAAGGGCGGAATATAACTGTGTGTGTGAGAGAGACCATTATATATATATATATATATATATAGTGTGGTCTGCTGTCAGGTCAGTTGGGCATAGACCTGTTCTAATGTACAGCGGTACAATGTGCCCTCCAGATCCATAGTTAAGATCCAAGCACATGTCATGGATACCAAAAATAAATAAAAAAGCAGATGATTTCATCCTATATTATTAAACACAGTAACGTTAATAAGGACACTTCAGTATGCTTGTGTAATAGGCGCTAATTTATGTATAGGACGTGATGATCCATAATCAGTGGAAATCATGGATCTGGAGCCTGCAGGTCCACTGCACAATTTAATGAATTCCAAAGTACTTAACACTTGATCTTATAGATCAGTGGTTCTCGACCTGTAGGTACCCAGGGGTTTTGGCCTACAACACCCAGAAATCCTAGCCAGTTTACCAGTTGTTAAAATTTCTGAGAGTTGAAGGCTAAAACATCTGGGGACCCACAGGTTGAGAACCATTGTAATAGATCCTGCATCCCTTATCAGCATGAGTAGATTTGTGCAACAGATGATCTGAATCTTCTTAACCATCCAGCAGCTGCCCAAAGACTCGCACTTAATTTCCTTTGATTCCTTTCTTCTCCCTTCATCTCCCACCAACCCCCTGTCCAGATCATTTTGTTGAGGTCCTGCAGTGCAAAGTGGATTGCGAGGCCGATCTGATACCAAATGTAGGCGGCTACTTTGTGGAGAAGTTTGTGGCCACCATGTATCATTACCTTCAATTTGCATATTACAAATGTAAGTCTCGGGAAATTCATTTTTGGGGGGTTGGGGAATTCATGTTGTTGACAGACAGTGGAAGAGTTTGTTATAAGTCACAAAACCCTTTGACCCAAGATCAAGACAACACCTAATTTGTCTGATACCCCTTCCTGTTTGTTCCCAACCTTTAGTCTTTAGATACAAGTTGAACTGTAACAAATGTTGCAGTATGGTGGACATTCATGGGAATTTCCAAAATACTGCCATTCCTTTCCTCTTACCACTTCTCCCTACTGAGGTTTTCCCCCAACAGTCAGCATTCCCTGCTTGCTAAGCATGGTTGGTTCTCACTGACTTGTTTGTATGCATTTACCCCTTTTTGTCAGGGGTGAATGCATACAGACAAGAATCAGGGATTCTTTTTAGCACATCTTGATTAAAATGTGTTAGAGTTAAGACAGGATCTAAAAGTGAGTTTGGAGGTTAAGATGTCCTAGGGAGTTGCAGGAAAGATCAGTACATTGCCAATTCACTAGGAGGGACTTGTGGCAGTCCACATGCTGCTGGAGTGCAGCTTCCATCAGCCCAAGCCATGATAAGCAGTTGTGTGAGCTAATGGGAATTGCACATCAACCAAAACAAAGGACCACAAATCACCTTAGAGCAGTGTTTTCCAGACTTTGGTCATCCAGATGTTTTGGACTTCCAGAATTCCTGACTGTTGGCCAAGCTGGCCGAGGATACTGGGAGTTGACGTGCGAAACAGCAGGATGGTCAACATTTGGGAATTGTTGGGCTAGAGCAGGTATGGGCAAACTTCGGATCTCCAGCTTTTCCCCCCACAGCTTAAGCGGCTGTGGGGGGAAAGGAAGGGGCCTGAGGCTGTTAGGAATTGTGGGAGTTGAAGTCCAAAACACTTTGAGGGCCGAAGTTTGCCCATGCCTGGCCTAGAGGCTCTCTTTCTCTTAGTCTTTCTCTTCCTTCTCACCCCCCAGTGCTGCATTTTAAGATGCCTATTCCACTAACTTGATGTCTCATTATTTGCGCAGTGAACGATATCAAAAACGCAGTGCGAAGTGTAGCCAGCTACATGCTTTTTGACCCTGGGGATGAGGTCATGCAACAGAACCTGGTCTATTACCGCTTCTACCGTGAGCGTTGGCATTTGGAAGAAGATGACTTCAACCCACGGCCGGTGAGATCAGAATGTGTAGACATAAGGATTAAGGTGTTCCTTGTGACCAAACATACAATTTATTTCCAGCATTCAAGTTCTTCAAAAGTTTGTTGGAAATAGCCAACTTCTACAAGCCTCCTATACTAGTTATTCATTATGTATATAATTCAGATTGTATGTATATTTTGATATGCAGTTTTCCCTTAACTCTATGTTGTTTGATGTTGTGGTAGGGACTACAGACCATGTGACCATTCAGACTGAGACTCCATTTTAGAAGTCACTTTGCATCAGAAGCAGTATAGTATAGTTTAGAACACTGGTTCTTGATCTGTGGGTCCCCAGGTGTTTTGGCCTACAACTCCCAGAAATCCCAGGCAGTTTACCAGATGTTAGGATTTCTGGGAGTTGAAGGCCAAAACATCTGGCAACCCACAGATTGGGAACCAGTGGTTTAGAAGTAAAGTCAGTGTCAGTATGCTGCAGTGTGTAGTCAGTCTGTATTGAGTCCATGTTCAGTAATGTTTTAGACTGAAGAGAGTCTGTATGCAACAAAGAAGAGAGTAAAACAGAATGCTTTAGAAAACAGATTGTTTAAACTCTCAATCAGTAAGAAACATACCTGTATGCTGAATACATGAAGTCTGTAAGTAAATCAACTATATTACTTTTAACAAAGACTACCTATTTTTGGTCTCTTGAGAACATGATTTAAAAGCAATATATTTTATGTGACAATAGTTGTTTTTGGGCAACTGAAATAACACTTCTGAAAATCTGCTATATATTTTGTGCATTGGCATATCTTTGTTCCTAACAGTTTTATTTATTTATTTATTTATTTATTTACGGCATTTATATGTCGCCCTTCTCACCCCGAAGGGGACTCAGAGCGGCTTACAATATATATTTTCATACAATATATTATATTATTAGCATAGTAAAATACCAGTATATATTACTATATTGCATTATACCATTATATTATAATATTATTAGTAATATTACATGTAATTAAATATATAATTATAATTATAATATTGAATTATTATTACTAGTATTATATTGTATTATATTATAATATTATAATATAGTTCAGAGAGATAACCAGGTATATCAGTCTAACAACTGAGAAACCTAATTTGCTTTGCATGAATACTAGTGGATATATACCACTAAGGAGAAGATTCATTCAAAGAGTATTTAAATCTTCTCATGAAGATCATACTTTACAAAAAGGTTATGATTATTCCAAATAGTGTGAATGCCAATTAATCTCCAAAAGGGGCATGCTTCCAAAAGGCTTTGGAGATTTCTGGTTTCCCAAAAGGTTATGTCCTCTAAAATGTCATGCCCTTTCCAAAAAGTCTGCTACCCTGATGTACTAGAAGATTATACAAATAAATCAAAATTGTGCCACATTATATCAATTCAACATACCTGTATTAAAAGGTAGCAACCCCCAAAAACCTGAAACCAGGACTGGGAATTATGTGCCCTACCCCCTCAATATTAGTAAACTTCAGCTTCCAGTATTCATCGCTGCTGACAGGGATTGCTGGGTGTTGGAGTCCAACAACATCTAGAGATCTGCACATTTCACAGATCTACTCTACAAGTTTTCCAGTGGGGGAAGGGCAAAGGCAAAATAGTAGGGCCTTCAACACGACCATGTTTTTTCTTCTTCTCTTATAACCAGTAAGTAAGAGGAGAGCCAATGGAGCAGTGATTAGAATAATGGACTAGAATGCTGAAAGAATATGGTTTAGATCCCCATTCAGGAACCAACTCTGGTCTTTGGCAAGTCATGCTTCTCTACAGGAGCAATCTTTCTTTCTTAGAGAGTACAGTGTCTCTGAGCTCCTTTCCCACTCTAGAATTATAGCAGTTTCATCCCACTTCAACTGTCATGGGTCTATTCTTTGGTCCTGGGATTTGTACTTTGATAAGGCACAGATAATTCTAAATACTTCATGCAAATACAAATTCCAGAATTCCCTAGAACAAAGCTATGGCAGTTATCAAAATATCCTAAAGTCGTCAGATTCTGTCTGATCTTTGATGCTAAGCAGAGTCAGCCCTATGTAGTTCTAGGACAGGAGACTGTCAACAAATACCAGGTGCTGTAGGCATTATTTCAGAGGCAAAACCACCTCTTAATCCTCCTTGCTTAAGAAAACCTTGTGAAATTCAAAGAGTTGCCATAAGTCAACCCATTCCTACACATGGCATCAAAATCCTGTGATGTTCTATGTGAAAAGAGCCATATTTTATCAACTGATTGTAGTGGCTGGTGCCAGAGTGTCCCATACTCTTTTGACTTCTCTCCATAATTGTACTACCTTTCTGCTGGAAGGTGACCATAGAATCATGCTGGAGGACCTACAAATGCCTACACAAGTGTTCTCTCAAGGAATCTTTAGGTCCTCAAGTGCAACTCGGTGGTCATTTTCACAAATGTTTATCCCATAAATGTGGAGGGCCAGTTGTATTTTATCAAATGCCAGCTTTTTCTCCTTGCCCTTCCAGGCTCCACCTGGCAGGTGCAGTATCACGTCAAGCAGGTAGAAAAAGTGTTTCCATGGTGAGCTTTTTGAGGATGGAAGCCTTCAGATGTTTGGACTCCAACCCCCATAATACCTTAGCATTAAACAAGCTGGAAAGGGCTTCTGGGAGTCAGATGCCTGCTATATGTCCTTGGCACAGAATGTCCCACTTTCTTTTAGGTTCACTGTTGGCTCCAGCTAAGAAAATGCCATTAGCTGCTCCCTTATTTCCTATGATTGACTCTTTCTTTCTTGACTTTCAGGAAGCTTTGCGCTACCACAATCAGACATCTGCACAGAAGAAGCTCTTGGAATTTGCCAAGCAGTATCTGCAACCAGATGATGAGGTGAGGACTCAGGAGATCAAAGTCAGTGTTATGTGGGGGTTTGCAAGTGTTGTACTGGGGAGATCAGAGGCTAAATCCTTTCCTATCTTCTTGTGGGATGACTTATTGTTTCTATTCTCACACTCCTTCCTAAACATCCAAGTTCATGTGTGTACAGGTCATTAATGTTGTCAAACTATATCTGTTACTAGCCCTATCCAGCATAGCCATGGTGTATAATGGTAGTTACACATTTTAGTAACATCTGAAAGGCCAGAAGTTACCCATTCTGCCCTCAATTAAGGAGGTTGGACCCCATCGGGAGATGGGGCAGGATATAAATAAAGTTTGTTGTTGTTGTTGTTCCCAGATGTGTTTGGCCTTCAACTCCCATAAATCATAACAGCTGGTTAACTGGCTGGGATTTCTGGGAATTGTAGGCCAAAACACCCGGGGACCCACAGTTTGAGAACCACTGTTCTAATCCAAGTCAAAGGAAGAGAAATGCCTAAAAACAAGGTAGACCAAGAATTGGTTATTGGTACCAATCAGCCCTGCTTTGAAACAGTTCAAAACTCATTTACTTTTAGAGTCCAACGGCACTTAAAACATTGCTGCAAGGAAAGAGTGGGGAGGAAGAAAAGGACAGGATATAGGAAAGGGAAGAATGTTGTGTTCTTATTTCTCTAAGTACTAACTAGTGTTAACTTTTCCATAAGTATACACTTAAGATTATCATGTGTTCTGTTGCACATTCATGTCACACTAGAACTAGCTTTACACTAGTGATCACCCCAGTTTGGAGAGCTGTCCTAGGCATCTTCCCCATCTAATTACCTTTCCCAGATCAGAAAATAAAATATCATACATTTCGGCTACATATCAATCTGTATAAAGGTCTAGACTGGAAGGACAGTTAGCTGTTAGTGCATAGTCACATTCCCCAATCTGGGGCCTACCAGGTTGTATGACTGTAGCCAGATATATGAAGTTGCAATCCACCAGTAGCCAGTGATGGCTTCTACATTGGTGATGGTGGTGAGTCTGATCTGGGTTTTAATCTAAACTTGGAAAGGGGCTATCTAGAGTGCTGCATCTATGTTCAACTAATGTAATCTAGTAGCCACCACTGGGTACCACTCAAATAGTTTGGGGAGGCTGGTATGTCAGGTAAACATGCTCATGTAGTTATAATCCTTGTATTTAGGGGTGTTTACTCTTGCTGTCTCTTATTAACTTTTGCTCATATTGAAATAAATTTCTTGATCTTTTATTAATATCATAATATTGTAATACAATATAATACTACTAATAATACAATATAATGCTAATAATAATTATATATTGCATGTAATATTACTAATAATATTGCAGTATAGTGGTATAGTACAATATAGTAATATATAATACTAATATTGTGCTATGCTAATAATATAATAGATCAGATTAGATTCTGATTTTACTGATGATTGTTATATTGATGTTTAATTGTTGATGATGCTATTGTTTTAACTGTCCCATAATCGTTTTATGATGTTTTGCATTGAATTTTGCTGTTGTTAACCGCTTTGAGTCGACTGAGGGCAGAGAAAAGTGGTATATAAATGAAGTAAATAAATAATATATTGTACGTACATATAACTTGTAAGCTGCTCTGAGTCCCCTTTGGAGTGATAAGGGAAGGATATAAATGTTGTAAATAAACAAACAAATAAAGTACTCCAAAATGAGTAGCAGAAGTTAATGGTCCCAGGAGACAGCTGATTTTATTCATTTTTTTAATATGTGAAATGTGATGGCTATGAGAATATTATTCTGCTCTGTAATTGCTTATAGCATTTTACAATTAGCTATTCTGGCATTCTCTTATCCTTCAAAGGATCTGGGAATAACAGTGTAGCGGACTCTGGAGCAATTTTCTTCAACTAGCAGAGAAACCAATTCATCTTTTTTTTTCCCTTTCCTACTTAAGGGAGAAGTGGAGGATGGCACAGAGACAACTAACGTATCCTTGCCAACAGATGCTGAATTTGAGGGTATTGGTGACTATGAAGAAGGGTTCTTATCTGACTGGTGGCAGGAGCCAAAATTAAAAGGCGACAAAGCTGACCAAGGTTACTAATCCCAAGACTGAAATGCTGACTCTTCACCTTGTTTGTTCTTCTTTCGCATCTGTCTTTTCCTGGATTCTGCCCCATCCTTCCCTGCTTGATGTTTTGTCTCTTCCCCTCCTACATTTGTGTCTTCAGTGTACCATCTCTGCTTCCGTCAGTGTGTACCAGTCCATCCATCACTGTTGATGTACAGTTTGACTTCTGCTCTGGGGCAAATCTCAGAAGGCATTGCAAGAGCTTGGAATAGGAAATTAAGAGCTGCTGCAGCTTACTATAGAAGTCTGAAAGATGTTCCCACTTCTCTTGCATGCACAACTCCACTGCTTCATGTTCAGAAGTGTCTTGGTTGACTAAAGTTATGTATGCTGCATGGATTCTGAAGGAGCATTTGGGCATGACTTCTCTGGAGAGCATGAACAGTCTTTGGGGAAAACTATCCACCCAACCGGTTGTTTGTGTAAAGGTTGAGAAAAGAATTGCTTTTAACTCACTGTGTTTTTTTATTCACAGAGAGGCTCGAGTGAAGGGGTACGATCCCCACAATCATCTCCGGACGAGAGGGCATCTTAATTCTTTGCACCCACAAAGATTGAAGCAAGCTGGAACTGGCAGGTGTTTCCACAATGCATAGTTCAACACATTTTGTAGCTCGGGACTCCTTGCCCTTCTGGTGCTTTTAGTTTTGCCCACCAAGGTTTGAGACGTTCCACTTTCAACACCTGCCATGTAGGATTTTTAATTTCTCCCCAGATTGGAGAGGCTGGGCATGAGTACCTCTGAGCCAACTCACGGTTCTTTCTTTTCTCTCTCACTCTCCTGTGGTGCTTCATTTCTAGAAGAGTGCAATGAACAGGCTTGAAATCAAACCTTCACGAACGGGTCTGGTACAAGAGAAACAAAGTGCTTACTTCTGGTTTTACCTGATCTCTGTTATTGTTACCTCAATACATCCTAGAGTTTAGTGGTTTACACAGTTAACAACCCACCTATTCCCGTATATAATATACACATACAGTGCATGCATTCCCCTAGAACAAATTTAGGTCCTTATCTATTTCCATAGCAGAAAAAGGTTGGCAGATGTTGAGCTTGGTGGATCTACTCTGCTTTTTTTTTTTTTAAGAACTTTGAGATCCACCAACTGGAGCCATATGCAGTTTAATGCCATGGGGTGCTGGCTTTTGTAGACTAAGGACCAGGATGTCCTTAAGCAGTTGTTGTCAGTTCAACAATTTCCTTTCACACATGTAAAATTATTTCTGATGTATTCCATTTCACCAGACCAGCTTTCTTTGTTTTTAAGTAGCGGGTGCATCTACACCAGTGGCTTCCAACCTGTGGTCCATGAACCATCAGTGGTCCCCAAGAACTAAAATATGGTCCATGCCCTCACTGTTACTATACCATTGCAACGAGAGTGACTGGTCTCACAAAACCCTCTTATAGTCCTGGGGAAATGTAGGGAGGGGAGAGGCTGACTACCCATGGAAGGCGTGATGACAAGCCCTCCTATCTGCTGTTTCGTCTCCCTTCGCGAGCGGAGCCGTTCCATGTGGTGCCTGGAAACACCTTGGTGTCTTCATTTTTAGGCTTGTTCCTGATGTTATTTGGGTTGCTCAGTCAGAAAATTGCATTGAATAGACTACATCAGCTCTAGACTACCAAATATGGTTTTCTGTGAGTGAGCAGATGGCGACTACTGGACGGCATATGTTCTGTATCAGAAACCAGAACTGATGTGGTCTATCCAATGCAATCTTCTGAATCAGCACTCCAAATAACCAAACAGAATCTAAGGTTGACCAAAACCTGATTTGTAATCCTTTTGGTACTAATGTTGGAGTGTGGTCCCTGGTCAAAAAAAGGTTGGGAACCACTGATCTACACTGTTAGAATCAATGCAGTTTGACACCACTTGTAACTACCATGGCTCAGTGCTGTGGAATGCTTCTCATATCAGGCCTTCCTCATACTGCGAGGCCTACCTCACAGATAAGCCTCCTCACACAGAGTGAGGTGTTCTCTCACTAAGACTAACTAACACTAACAGGTTTTGGCCTACTCACTCTCCTCAGGGTGACGCTAGCTTTGGCCCACTAACTATAACTATAACAGAGCCCCCGGTGGCGCAGTGGGTCAAACCCCTGTGCCGGCAGGACTGAAGACTGACAGGTCACAGTTTCAAATCCGGGGAGAGGCAGGTGAGCTCCCTCTATCAGCTCCAGCTCCTCATGCGGGGACATGAGAGAAGCCTCCCACAAGGATGATAAAACATCAAAAAATCATCTTGGCATCCCCTGGTCAATGTCCTTGCAGACGGCCAATTCTCTCACACCAGAAGCAACTTGCAGTTTCTCAGGTCGCTCTTGACACGACAAAAAAAACCTAACTATAACAGGCTTTGGCCTACTAACACTTTCAGTGCTTGACTCACACATTTGTAATCAAAAATACTGAGTTAATTTTTAATTTTTTCTGACGGAATACTGGAATTTTTAATTTGGTAAAGTCTTGGCACTCAGCAGAGAAGGCTAAAAGCCTTATAAAATTGTCATTCCCATAATACCATAACATTGAGCCATTGCAGTTAAAACGATGTCAAACTGCATGAATTCTATAGTGTAGATCAAGGGTCCTCAGACTAAGGCCCAGGGGCTGGTTACGGCCCTCCAAGGTCATTTACCCGGCCCTCACTCAGGGTCAACCTAAGTCTGAAATGACTTGAAAGCACACAACAACAACAACAATCCTGTCTCATCAGCCAAAAGCAGGCCCACACTTCCCATTGAAATACTAATACATTTATATTTGTTAAAATTGTTCTTCATTTCAAATCAAATCATTTATTTCGGTCATTGACCAGCACAAGTTCTTCATTTTAATTATTGTATTGTTTAAAAGTGGTTTTTGCACTACAAATAAGGTATGTGCAGTGTGCATAGGAATTCATTCATGGGGTGTTTTTTTTTCAAATTATAACCTGGTCCTCCAAAAGTTGGAGGGACTGTGACCTGGCCTTCTGTTTAAAAAGTTTGAGGACCCCTGGTGTAGATAAACCTTGAGTTGGGGTGTGTGTGAGGAGTTTCAGAAATTGTTTCTTGTTGTTAAACTACTGGGAGCCAAAAAGCAAAAAAAACCTCTTGTCAACATGCTGCAAATTACTCAGAAATCTCTACCAAAAGATCTGAATTGGCCCTTTGGCCACTTTGGCCTTCCCTTTTCAAAAAGCCAGGCTCTCGGTTGTGAATAGTTGTGAGCACTGATATTTTTGTGCTAGAAGCCAAATATGGAAAAAAAAATGGATTATACCTTCTTGATTCTTTCAGCTGGGAACTGTAGTCCAAAAATTATTTTTCTTAGCTCTGTGTAGAACTCAGTAGACACAAGCTCTTTCTGACCAAGTTTCCGAAACAAAACAAAAATGGGTACGTTCAGCTTTCCAAGTGCCTTTTTAAACTTTGCGATGCTGCCTTTGTAATGTTGTTTTTGGATAATTTAATGTTTTTAGCTTTGTACAGATTTTTAATTAATTTTTAAGCTAAATTTTCATAAAATACTTTTGGACTTTGTTCTTTGTGGCATTCTTTTCATTCATGGCCTTTGTTGACACACACATCCACTTTGAGTTCTGGAGAAGAGCGCCCTTTGTCGTTCCTTTTCTTTATTTTGCCAAAAATGGGATCAACATTTTGCAAAGCATAGCTGCTTATTGGGAAGGGGAAGGGCTATCTTGGGATAAGTTTACAAATACATAATGATTACTTTTAACTGCAACATCAAAAGTTTGTTTTGCATGTATTTAATAGCCAAGCAAATGAAACACTACAAATTTACGGTTGGATCCAAACTCAGAAAGTTTTGGAAAACTAGGAATCTCCATAGCCTTTTGGAAGTGTGACCCTTTTGGAGATTAATTGGCATTCACACTATTTGGAATAATCATAACCTTTTGGAAAAGCATAACCTTCCTGAGAAGAGTTAAATACTCATTTGAGTGAATCTTCTTCAAATTGGTATTCATGCAAGGCAAATTAGGCTTCTCAGCTGTTAGACTGATATACCTGGTTACCTCTCTGAACTGTTAGGAACAAAGATATGTTACTGCACAATATATACTGCAGATCTTCAGAAGCGTTATTTCAGTTGTCCAAAAAACATCTACTCTCCCATAAAATATATTGGTTTTAAGTCATGCTTTCAAGAGACCAAAAATAAGTAGTCTTTGTTAAAAGTGACATAGTTGATTTAACCTCACAACCTCTGAGGATGCCTGCCATAGATGCAAGCAAAACATCATGAGAGAATGCTTCTGGAACATAACCATACAGCCCAAAAAACTTACAGCAACCCATAGTTGATTTACTTCCAAATGTATTTCGCATACAGGTACGTTTCTTATTGGTTGATAGTTTAAACAATCTGTTCTCTAAAGCATTATTGTGCTGGCACGGCTGTGCCAGGAGATTTGAATTTCTTTTCTTGCACTTTTAGTTTGCATGAATCTATTCAAGCTATGCTTTTTTTGCAATTGGGTAGCTTTCCCCAGGTTGCAATCAAAGGGCCAACAACCTATCAATCATCATTAGAGCCTTTAGATCTGCCCCTTTCCCCAGGTTTTGGAGGGAAAGGGGGACTTTTAGTTTAGTCTCACAGTTTGGAGCCCTACAGTAGAACATGTGGCCTTTTCTCTACCCCTCCTGTAAAAAGCTTCGCTTCTTGCAGCTCTGTCGGAGCCAAATATATAGATCTACAGCCAGCTTTGCTGCGGAAAAGGAAAACCTCTACAGCTTTGCTGGCGAGTAAAGTTACAGTTCCACAGCTTTGCTAGAGGAATACAACCAGACTTTGCTGGGCAAAGAAATAGTTCCACAGCCCTCGTGGAGAAACTAAAAGGACACCAGCTTGGCAGATCTGTAGCAACCATTGCCTGGTAAGGGACCACTCGGGCTATCCATAACGCAGCTTAAGCAGTGCTAGTGACCCATAATACCACTGAAACAATGAACTTTTGGCTGTCAATTCATGATTTTATCCCATAAATTAAAAAATATATAGCCAACTGGGGCAGGAGGAGACTGATATACCACTGCTTTAGAGCAATGTCATGGAATGAGCAGTGCTATCAGAACCAATTGGCAGAAACCGTGCTCTAGGCAACCTCTTAAACATTGCTTAGAGTTGTCATCTCAACCTGATGCCCCTCAGAAATGGAGCACTACAGCTTCCACCATTTCCATCCTACAAATCCAGAATTGCTAGTTTAGAAATGTCAAGGCTGCAGCTCAGCTTCTTGCCTGAAGGTGGCAGTAGAAACTAATCTCTCTTTGCCCATCAGTCCCTGTGTCCTTCCATCTCCTTTCTCCCATTCAGAGTGATTTTTGCCTATAGCCATCATGGCAAAAACTTAGCCTCATTTCGCATTAAAGGCCATTTTATTATTTTTATTTTTAAAATATTTTAAAAATTCTTTCCCCAAGCGGGGATTCAGATTCATATCGTTTGCATCACTACTGTGATCACGTCTTGGCCACAGTCTGTTCAGTGTCTTTTCTTTTTAGGGACTGCATCACCATGGAGGGTATCCCTCAAATGCATTGGATTTTTCATTGTTGAATGTGGAACTCAGGAAATTCTTGACCTCACCAGTTTGCCGGGGGGGGGGGGGATCACTTCAGTCTGTGATTGTAGGTGACCTATAAATCCCAGCAGCTACAACTCCCAAATGACAAAATCAATTTTATTTGAGTGATGGTCACTCCTTGGGTTAGTAGGTGTCTTGTGTCCAAATTTGGTGTCAATTCGCCCAGTGGTT